GCAAGAGCCTAACATTTTTTTGATGTTGGCTCCTGAAAGCTGGGCTCTGGTCCCAAGGCCTTTTCATTCCTCACCCCTCCACCCCAAGCCATAAGGCTGAGCAAAAATGCCACCTCCTCCAATCGTGGCAAATAGGGGAGAGCATTTCAGATGATTTGGGGAGAAGGATTATTTGCACGGTTTGAAGGGAAGAGTTCAGTCAATGGCAGTAACAGTGGCCTTTTCTTTAGTAAAGTTGAGTTTGCCAGCACCCTGCAAGCCCTTGGAACGATGTGATGTTGTAACGTTGGGGTGTTTGCATTTAGCGATGGTTCAACATCCAAACCCATGTACACAAATACACTTGTATAGTTATTCACATGTTACCTTCAATGTGTGCACAGTCCGCATTCGCAATAGCTGAGCAACGCGTGTACACTGTCTCATACAAACACCTGTGCATTATACCTGTGTTCAGTGTAATGTGTGAACAATTTTATATAGTGTCATTCCAGAGGCGTTGGGGGTGAGGAAAGGAGAGAAAGTAATAGTGGCCACCATTTAGTCATTCAGGTTGGTACATGTAGTTCTTCTACCCCCCCCCCCACCTATTTTATCCCCACAAGAACCCTGTCAGGTAGATTAGGCTGAGAGATTGTGGCTTGCCCAAGGTCACTTGCTGAGTTTCATGGCTGAGTGGAGATTTCTCCCAAGTCCTAATCTCGCACACTGGTGTGGCAGGAGAAGATGGCAAACATGGCAGGAAGACAATCTGTTATATTTTGGGAATGGTTCATGTCATTATGTAGCTGCATTCTTTTATACTTTCTGGACCTCCCAGGATCATATTAGAAAGTAGTTGTGTTCTGTGTTATAAATCAGGCATTGCTAGGAGGTGCTTTCCAATTTATTTCTTATCCACACAAAAATTGGTGTGACACGAGCAAATTTTTAATTTGAAAGTGTGGCCTGGGGGGGGGGGAATTGAGAAACACTACTCTACCCCTTAACAAACTACAGTTCCCAGGATTCTCCAGAGGAGGGGAGGCATGTGTTTTAAATTTATGGCGTGAATATGACTTCAGTCTCCTTTTGTTTTTTGACAGGCAACTAACTGTAATGGGTTTATTTATAAGGGTGTGATTTAATTTCCCTGAAACCAGCCTCTATTGCTGCTCTTCACCCAGTTTCTATTTCTCAGCTGAAAACATCCAGTTCAGCCCTCATTATCAGTGCTGGGCATATTCTGCAATAGTTAAGTTCTGAATTTGCTACTGGGTGCAGCTTTCAGCACCTAAAACATCTAATCTTTTACTCAATTTATAACAAACAAATAAACAGGTTTCTTGCCCTCGTGGTTATAGACATGGGCTTGCAAGTGTGCAAGCGATTCCTGCTGAAATCTTGAGAGTTGAGGGTGGGAGTAGCAGCAAGCAGGATTTCCAGTAGTCGGTAGATAGGGCTTTCACAGGAAAGGGAAATGAGGTGAGGGGTGGGGAGAGAAGTTGATGGGTGGGGTGGGGGGATGAATGGGAGAATAGAGACAGCCATGCCTGTGTGTATGTTCAACGCTGGAGACTGTTGTCCTTCGCTGTGCATCTGTAGCCTAGAGCACATACATCTTGTTATATCAAAACTCATCTCTGCAGTGGAAGGTTGATAGTGGTGGTGGGAACTCAGATAAAGAGCCCTGGGGGCCATGCATGGTTATCTATACAGCTATGATGATTCTGGTATTACTCCAGCCAGGCTCTTGCAGGAATAGTTAAATTTTATTGCAATAAAGGAATCTGAGCAATTGAGTCTCACAGCCATGGAGAATAACAACCTGCTGCCCAGCTCAGGCAGATCCATTCAGCTGAGTGTTAAGAGTCCCATGGCCAGAATCTAGCAAGGAAAAGCCAGATCGTGCTAATTATTGCATTTATAGCTCAGCTTTTGTCCAAGGCTGGCACACATAGGTTCTCCCCCTCCCCGTTTGTATCCTCACAACACCCCTTAGGGATTGGTTAGACTGAGAGACAGTGACTGGCACATGGTCACCCAGGGAGCCACATGGCCAAGTGTGGATTTGAGTCTCTCAACTCCTAGTTCACCACTCTAAAACCACTACACCACACTGGCTGTAAACATCCTGGCTTTGGTTCTTGCAAAAGCAGTAGGGTCTTGCTGCTGTTAGCTTGCAAGTTGTTTTGAGTGAGGAAAGATGGAAGCTGCCTTATTCCAAGACAGACCATTGTCTACCTGGCCCAGGTATGGTTTACTCCTTGGCTGGGGAAACCTGTGACCCTCCAGGTGCGATTGGACTCCAAAACCCATCTTCCATTATTGGGAGTAAAGCAGCACTGTTTTCAGTAAGCTAGCGGAACCCATTGGGAAGTAATAGACAGAAAGGTAATCTATTCTTCCCTCGCTATAGTTCTTTCAGGCTTTAGTCCTTTCCTGCTTTTTCTTCAGTGTTAGTGTTGGACCTGGGTTGTGGTGGTTGTTTTGTCATTGTTGTTGTTAACTTTCATGCTACAGAAAAGCTACTTCTGGAAATCTAGAGGAATTTAAGTGGAAGTTTAGTGCTTGTTCCCACTTTAATTTTTTTCATGGGGTACGAGTGGAATCCATTTGCAACCCTGTTAACTTGGCAAATCTCAGGAGTTTTGCATTGTAGTTCCATGTGACAGAATTTAGGGCAGTATCCCAGGATACAGTTCTTTCCTGCTGTTCAGAATTTAGTGTGACATGGTGGTGTATTGATCAAAAAGCCAGAGTGCCATAATGCAACAAAGTACTGCAGTATAAAAGGAATGTTAAAAACTGGGACAGAAGAGCTAGCATTGTAACCAGCAAACGTAGCACAGTAACCCACATATCTGAAAGCAGCCTAAATTAGCAGGTCTCCAGGGTCTTGGACAAAGGAAGGTATTTCCTGTTTCCCACTACCAGATCCCCTTAGGTCAGATCCACACCATGGAGCATTCATTTGGGTGCTGGGAACTGTAGCTCAGCGAGGTCTTAACAAACTACAGCTCCCAGAATTCTTTTGGAGGGAGCCATGGGTGTTGTAGTGGTGTAAGAGAACTTGAAATGGATGGTGTGGATGTAACCTTACCTGAAGATTCCAGGGCTTGAACATGGGACCTTCTGCATGCAAACTTTCTACTCCACAGCAACTGACATCCTTGAGCTTGAAATTAATACTAAAAATGGAACCGTCACATTTTAGAAGCAATGCTTGTTTACTTTCATTTTAAAGAATGTATGTCCCACCCCTCATCCCTAGTGATCTCGGGGAAGGTAACAGCAGTTTAAAATACACTAAGCAATAAAAGTGAAATACAATTAAGAATCTTGGCTATGTCGCTCCTTACACAGCACACACATACACAGCCAATTCAGAAGGCCGGACTGAAGAACAAAGTCTTCAGCTGGTGCTGAACAAGCAGCCTCAAGGCCCAGGCAGTACTATTTGGAGAGATGCATTCCTTCAGATATCCAGATCCTTAGCCATTTAGCGTTTTAAACTTGGAACTAAGACTCTGAACTGGGCCTGATGAGAACTGTTCTTATATGCTTTTCTGCAGACATTCCCATTAATACTTTGGCCACTGCATTTTGCATAGGTAAATTGTGCACCGATCTTTATGGCCAGGCATTCTCTTCCCAGGAGTGGCTGTAGCTGGTGAAAAGGCCAGAGCTGGAAAAAGGCACTTCATACCACTAAAGCCACCTGGGCCCTAGCTACAGAGGAAAATCTAGGACAACCCCTCAGGCTATGTACCTGGTCCTTCAGCGGGCATGCAACCCTCTCTAGAACAAGCTCTCTTTCTCTGTTTCATCAACCCAGGAACTACCAATCTGCAGTATCTCTAACTTATCTAGGACTTATTTAGCTTCAGTGTTTTGGCCTTCCTCCATCTCATTATTGCCTCCAGACACAAACTTTACCAGGTGGCAAGGAGAAACAGAGCTGAATGTCATTTGCATATTGACATAGTTTTCTTCTATGTGTTGTAATTGTGTATCTAGCCTGACTTAAGAAAGACAAAACCTGAAGTTATATACTGTTCTTGTTCAGGTTATACAGTATTATCGTTTTCTTTTCTCTCTGGACTTTGTCTAAAATATTTAAATGACTCTGCCAGCAAGGGCCTTTGACCCTTCTCATCTCATTGTTCTACAGTGAGATGATGGCTTGACATGCCAGCCAGTCTATAAGGGTTTCCCAAACAGCATCCATCTGTTTTTTTGGACTACAACTCCCATCATGCCTAGCCAGGACCGTGGGGTAGCCAAACTGGACCCACATTTGGGAACCCTATAACACTGATGCTTGCAAGAAGCAACAGGAGATGGCTTTATTGATTGTAGCTGCACTTGGCTTGGCTGCTTGGCTGGCCACTTTTCAGTTGTAGACTTACAGGATCAGCCCAAAGATCTAACAAGATGATTTAAAATAAAGCACGAACTACGTCTTCCTTCGGTGCTGAAGAGCTCAGAATATCCTTCAGAACTGTCAGAAAGGAACCATATGTTACAGTGCATCTCTGTTTCTCCCTGTGATGCTGTTGATGATGGTAGCTAAAGTGGGTGCAGCAATGAACACAATTATTTTTTTACTTTACCTAGTTGGCCAGTTTCTACATTCTCCTCTCTATCCTTCATTCAGGCAAGGAATAGGCATGATCAGAATTCAAGGAAACCTTTCAGCCAGGCAAAGTTGCTCAAGGAGGAGGCAGAACAATATCAGAGATGGGTGCGGCCTAGGGCCAGATAAAGAGGCCTGATGTGGCCCTCTAGGCCCAAAGATTATAAACCCCTGCTTTATAATCTGCAACCAGCAGCCCTTGAGCCAAATCTGCCTTCTAAAGAGATTCTCCTGGTTCCTCAGCCTCCAGCCCTAAGGCGTGTTTGGAAGGAGTAGCAGCTGTGGAAAGCCTCCTTTGCAAGAGGAGAGGGGAGCCAGGCCCACCACCAGGGGGAGGGGAAAGCCCTAAAGAGATTATCCTTCTGATCTTAGAGCCATTTTCCTAAAGGTGTGTGAAGTCGAGTAAAGGAAGCATTTCGAAAACAAGGTCCCACTTGGCCTACAAGTCTGTGTGCAAACACAGGCTCATTCTCTCTTTTCCCAGGGCCTTGTCGATAGGAAGGAAGGAGGGACAGGCCTGCGACAATGGGCCAGCGGGAGTTGACTCAAACAGCCAATTCCTGGTGATTTCCTCTCCCTGCCGAGGGGGCCAGAGAAAGTGGGAAAAGGAAGTTCAGCCGAGGAGGACTGGAGGCAGGAGGATCGCTAGGAACAAAAGGGGCAGCTTCCTGAACTATTTCCAGCCCTGGCATGGCAGCACAATCCGCCTGAAGAAGCAGCCGCCTTGCAGATTTCGCCTTGCTGCCGATTTCAGAACTGGACTAGGCCGAAAGACAGCAGGGGGTGGGTGGGTGTCTGTTGCACAGACCAGGGTGCTGTGAAGGCATCTGCGCGTCGTGTGGATGCCCCTGTGCGTGCTTTGACACCGCTGGTGCTGCGTGTGGGACCCCAGCGCTCATGGAGAGGGCAGGATCTTTGCTTATGTCCTTGCACAGAGCAGGTAAGGCACACCGGTGGGTGGAAGGGGGTGTCAACGGGAAGGAGCTTTGATGTGCATGGAGCAAGGTGTTGAGTCTTGTTACCTTACTGAATGCAGGGATGGCAGCACCTGCTGCCGAGGGTGTTGCTAGCTTTGCGCTACAGTCGCTATGAATTTGCACCCAGTAGGAAGCTATAGAAGCCCCTTTCTTATTGGTATCCTTCTGTCTCGAGAGACAAAGGAGTGTACCTCTGAGGGTGAAGTCAAACCACTGCAAGAGCAGTACCAAAGTGACTTCTCTGGGGCGCAATCCTGGGCAGTGTGTCTGGAGGTCCTGGGCTGCCGAGATGACAACTAGACCCTGTTCCCGGACTAGGTCACAGATGTGTGTTGGGCAAGAGGGGCTGGGTGAAATGACAAGATACACAGCAATCTTCCAAGGCTTTGTTTTGGACACCACTGCAACACACAGCAGTGTATTAGGTACAAAGGAAGCTGGCTTCTACCCCATCAGGCCATTGGTCTATCTAGCTCAATAATGTCTCCACTGACTGGCAGCAGCTCTCTGGAGTTTCAGACAAGAGTTTTTCCAAGCCCTGCTTTGAGATGGCAGGAATTGAACCTTAGACTTCCTTCATGCGAAACCGGTGCTTTAACATTTGAGCTATAGTATTTCTCTTTTATTAAGCACATGTGGTAATTTGTGGGTGCAGGTGCAAATTTAGGAAAAAATTACTGTAATTGAACTAGAAATACAGTACATCTTCCGTGAGTGGGTAACCAATTGACCTGTGTTCTTGCTCAGTCTGTAATCCAAGTGTAAGGTCACTGCTCTCCCTTATTATGGCTCATTATTTTTAGACTGAGCTTCGACTGGATAGTCCTTAAAATAGAGGACTGTCCTCTGCAAATAAGACACACTGCATGCTGATACTGTAGAGAGAGAAAACTAATGGGATGTTATTAGTACAAGTCTCTTATTTGGTGGGGGAAGGGGGCAAGAGATTTGTGTCTTCCCCAGGCACGCAACTTTTGCATGCATATCTGGTACTCATACATCAAGAGTGGCACAAATGCACAAGCTTGTCTGCTTTGTATCTTTTCTCATGCAATAGCAAACTGGGGTCTACGAAGCTGCCTTTGTTTTTCTTAAAAAAACCAAAAACAAAAATTAAGTTGTTGTGTTATCTATCAGTATTGGGCAGGGACAGGAAAGGTGGGTGTGAACAATTTGGTAGACTTGAATCCCTGACAACATCTCTGCTCTTTTTCTGCAAGAGGACAGAGTAAGATAGGTTGTTTGAAAGATGAGATTATGGGTTTGCAAGGCTAATCAGTGCTGAAGGGGATTTCAGAAAGGAGAGGTGGGTTTTCATGCTTTCCCGGCCAGTGGAAACTTTTTTCAACGGGGTAGGGGACCTCAGGCTCAGGGGCCAAATGGTGCCCCCCATACCCCTTTCTGTCCTGCCCTCAGGATTCTCCCCAGAGCATGCTTTAGGCTTCTTTTAAGTGCTTTTGCCTAACCAGCCTTGAACTAATGCCTCTGACTTGTCTAGATGGAGGATGGAGAGGTATTGGGGTGGGGAGAAGGGTTTAGAAACCTCTGCCTTCTTGTGTTGCTGCAATGTACCCTACTAAACAAAGGTAAGAGTCATCCTCAGTGTTATATCTACTTTGCCTCTGGCCCTGCCCAACCCTTGCAAATGGCCATATGCCCTCATGAAGCAATGCAACCCTCAAGCTAAAAAGGGTACCCCCCCAGGATTGCATAGTTATTTCTGAATAATCTTTCCAAGTATATTGGTTGAACAGGTTTGGTGGTGGTGGGGTAACCTGGCACATATAAAGCTGCCTTGTTTATTAAGTGACACCACTGGGCCATCTTGCCTGGTGGCGTCTGCTGTGGTAGCAGCTTTCTCGGCTGTCTGTCAGGAGCCCTGCTCTTCACCTGCTACCTGATCCTGTTTTTAATGGAGAGCTGCTAGGGATTGAACCTAGGACCTTCTTCATGCAAAGCACACACTCTGCTACTATAATGTTCAAATGCAGCGGAGACAGCATCAACCCCTCTCAAGTGCTTTCCCCATCCATTTCCTCAAAATGTAAAATGCTTCTTTCTCTTTGCCCAACCTCAGAAACTGTTCAACCTGTTACTCCCAGACTCGGTTTTGCAGGTACAGGTGTGCACCCTTGGGGAATTTTTTCTAAGGGCTGTTGCTAGGTTAAGGAAATCTCAGTTTGGCTATAGGTATGAGCTAATAAAGGGACGCGGGTGGTGCTGTGGGTTAAACTACAGAGCCTAGGCTTGCCGATAAGAAGGTCGGTGGTTCGAATCCCTGCGACAGGGTGAGCTCCCATTGCTCGGTCCCAGCTCCTGCCAACATAGCAGTTTGAAAGCACGTTAAAGTGCAAGTAGATAAATAGGTACCACTCAGGCGGGAAGGTAAACAGTGTTTCCGTGCGTTGCTCGGTTTTGCCAGAAGCAGGTTAGTCATGCTGGCCACATGACCCGGAAAAACTGTCTGCGGACAAATGCCAGCTCTCTTGGCCAGTAAAGCAAGATGAGCGCCGCAACCCCAGAGTCATCCGTGACTGGACCCTAACGGTCAGGGGTCCCTTTACCTATGAGCTAATAAAGCAATTAATTGTTTCAGCCATGTTCAGACCTTCACATAAACATAAAGTAGTTAGAAATGTGGGTGGGGTCTCTCTCTCTCACACACACATGCCCCATCTCCAACGATCTCATACATATCAGTGCAGCTTGCTCAGCTCCTGGCCTTTCCATGTTCAGTGGGACGGACAGGTCTCCAGGGGGCATTTACTGGCATCCACCTGAGTCCGCCAAAGTGTGGAGAATTCTATGCGCATTCAAGTGAATGCAGCTAAAAGGCCCACACAAACTTTCTGTGCTCTACATGTGAAAATCAGGGCTGCTGTGCACAGGAACCGACATACACAGATTTTTGGGGGGAGGGGTGTTTGTGTGTGTACCCCTACCCCTATCCCCACCTTTTAACTATTGCATGTTAAGGCAGCATGATCAAATGTGGATATAATGTGATGGACATGTGCGTTGATTGTAGTAGGCATCACCTTAGAAGATGCATTCCCTCCTGTCATAATTTCTATTTTAAGAGGACGCTTTCCAACTGCAGTTTTTATAAGAACTTGAATCTTACAATGTTTTAAAAAATAAAACTAGTTTTAATTGATTAAGAAAACCAATCAGTTACATAAACAGGTTGGGTTAACAGCTTCACATATTATAAAATGGTAGAAGCATCTACGTTATTTTGATAAGTGCAAATTCCAAAGAATAGCTGCATTTTGCTTCTTGAATTGCTTGAGGTAGTGTGAATTCAATAGATTCCCCTTTAAATGCATTTGTCCCACATCCCTATGTGCAGAGGAAGAATGGAACGCTCCACTTATCCTTCACCAGCTTGTTCTCTGTCTGCATCATAAGGCTCAGCTATGACTATCTCTTTCCTTGGCATCACAGGACAGCATAATGCCTGATGTTTTTTTAAAGTTCCTGGTGACACCTTCAGCATTTTAAGAACATTTGTGTGACTGAAGGCCTAGGATTTTGCAGCCCTGTAGTATCATTATGCATGATCTTTCCATGCATGAGACCTTCACCATGGTCAGAAGTACTCAAAAGAGAAAGGAGTCCAAGGTGGATGGGAGTTTCTTAAAGGTGAACCATTGAAAGCACAAATGCAACAAGAAAGAAAAGTGAGTGGTATCTAAAGAAAGCAGTGTGCCTGCATAAGGAGCTTACAGATGAGCTGAGATTTAAGAAGGGCATGCATTAGAAAAGGAAGAAAGGGAAAATCATGAAGGAGGAGTATACAAGAGTATTATTGTGGAGAAGTTGGTAAAATGTGGGCTGGACAATGTAACTGTTAGGTGGATTTGTAGCTGGTTGACTGACCGAACCCAAAGAGTGCTCACTAATGGTTCCTCATCATCCAGGAAAAAAGTGACGAGTTGGGTGCTGCGGGGTTCTGTCCTGGGCCCATTGTTGTTCAATGTGTTTATAAATGATTTGGGTGAAGGATTTGAAGGGATGCTCATCAAATTTGCAGATGAAACCAAATTGGGAGGGCTAGTGAATTCTACAGAAGATAGAATTCAAGATAAGCTTAACATATTGGAGAACTGGGCCAAAACTAGCAATATGAATTCAAATAGGGACAGGAGTAACCAGCTGCACAAAACTAAGATGGGGGGACACTTGGCTTGCGGGTAGTACTTGTGAAAAGGTTCTAGGGGTCTTAGTAGAACACTAGCTTAACATAAGTCAACAGTGTGGTGCAGCAGCAAAAAGAAAAGAAAAGCTAATGCTGTTCTAGGCTGCAACAACAGAAGTATAGTGTCCAGACCAAGGGAAATAATAGCAACACTATTCTGCCTTAGTCAGACCACACCAGGAAATACTGTGCCCAGATATGGGTGCCACAACTTAAGAAGGATATTGACAAGCTGGAATGTGTGCAGAGAAAGGCAACCAAGATTATCAAAGGCCTGGAAACCAAGCCTTATGAGGAACAGTTGAGGGAGCTGGGTGTGCTTAGCCTGGAAAAGATGAGACTGAGAGGATATAGGATAGCCATCTTCAAGTATCTAAAGGGCTGTCACATGGAAGATGGAGCAAGCTTGTTTTTTTCCTGCTCCGGGGGGTAAGACCCAAACCAATGGATTCAAGATATAAGAAAGTAGATTCCAACTAAACACCAGGCAGAACTTTCTGATGGTAATAACTGTTTGACAGTGGAATGGAGACTCTCCTTCCTTGGAGGTTTTTTTTAGCAGAGGTTTGGTGGCCATCTGTCATGGATGCTCTATTTGACATTCCTGCATTACAGGGGGTTGGAGCAGATGACCCTTGGGGTCCCTTCCCAACTTTACCATTCCGTGCTTCCATGGCTACCATGCAAACTGTTCAATTGTTACCTTGCAAAACCTCCTTTGCTTTTGCTTTTTTTTTTGCAATGCAAAATGCTTGTTTTCCA